TGTGTAACAATTAAGCAATAAAAGCCTTCCCTGTTCTTAATTCTTGGCAACGAGACCATCCTTCTCAAAGTTTTGGAAAGTGACTGGCACACAGTGGGTGTAATTACCAATAATTCAATACAATAGAGTTTTCTCTTTATGGATAGCTTTCCATTTAGTCACACCCTCTGACTTGCTATTGTAGGACCATTCTTGAGTGCTGGTTCATGACTGCAAGATGCCTTGTAAGTCATAACTTTGGTTAATAATTTGTTCATGTACAAAAAAGCTTAATTAAAAAAAAATTCCATGCAACAAAGAATAAAAAGCAGGGTTCCTGGGGTTCCTCTGAAAAAGCTGAGAAAGTGTTTCCACCTCAACAGGAGAAGCTATGGAGCAGAAATACAGGATGAAGTTGAGCCATTACCAGAAAACACTCACTTTTGGAATCCTGGGGGTCTGGCTTGTTTCCAGGTGGCTCAGGAGACAGTTTGGTCCCTATTCTGCTTGGAGTCGGATCCAGCTGCCCAGCTGATGTACTCTTCTTTGGGATGGGTGGTGACCCCACTTCCATGGCAACCAGCTCTTCCTCCTCAGAGGCCATAACTGCCACAAAGAGAAGGAAACATTCAGTCTGAGCTGTAAACAGTAAAGCATTACTGAAACTCACTCAAGGAAAACAGTGAATAGAAGTTAAACCATTCCACATGTAATTAAAAGGTATTCATTAGCTCCATGTTATCAGCCAGATACCCAAAAATAAAGAGAAAAAAAATCTCCCAGTTAATGCTATGTATTAATGGAAAAACAAGTTTTCAATAGGCAGATTTATATCCAACAGATGATGTTAGATCTAACAGAATAGGGACTATAGTTCACAAATAGCAAATGCAGGGGTCAAGTCATCACTTGAATATCCAGAAATCCCCAGTGTAAGCTTCCCATGCTATCAGCAATGACATGGGGAACAAATAGTGGTATGGAATGATGGTATCTGCTGCACAGCACAAAACACATTTCGTATCTTCTTGTCTCTACAGCATTTGGACCAATAAGCCTTAGCCATAGACTAGGACACCACTGAACCTAACACCATACAAGCACAAACCAAAAAGATGGTCACATTGTTTCTTGGTAGCTAGTGAGTTGTCACTAATGTCCATAGCATTTTACAGTTAAGCCAAAAGGTCCTGCCTGAGGAAATTACAATTCTGTGACCACTAGCTACCACAGGTAGCACATATGAACAGTCCTACTGATGTCTTGATAGTAACACAAGGACTACGATCAGTAGTGTTTATAATAGTAAATGGCTAAAGGCATAGGAAGAGACCATAAGGAAGAGAGAACACAATGGGATTGTTACATTGCTTCTAAGGGAACATTAATCACAGACAGGTGGACTGTTTATGTTGTTTTTGTAATTTTTGTTTTATTTTCATTGAGAGGCAGAAGGAGAGGGGAAGCACTCAGTGGCTCAGCTGAGATTACACAGAGCCAGGCTGAATAAAAAAAGTTTTGAGGGGGTATATGAATAGACAGATGGGACAGAGATCAAAGAGGAGCAGTCACAGAGATCAAAGAAGAGCAGGCAGCACATATTAAGGATGACATGAACAGACAGGGCACAGGAAATCTCCAAAATAAAATGAAGGGGAAAAAATCACTTTTATTGTACCTACTTCTAGAAGCCATAAAACAAAACAAAACCTTAACTTAATGGTCATTTAGAGAAAAAACTTCACTGTAACACAAAAGGGAATTTGCAGCAGTGTCCAACTACAGTGGAATAAGCCACGGCTCTTAAATACTGAATGTATTAGAAGGAAACTCCTCTGAAAGTTTTGAGAGAAAAAGCAGAGCAAAGCAAGGACGTGTCCTGGCACCTACATTGTTTGGAATATTTGCAATACTTTTCAGCTATGCATTTAAAACGTAGAACATGTTTATTTCATAGTCATCTGATAGCAAGCTGTTCAACCCTGCTAGATTGAAAGCAAAGACTGATGTGCAAAAAGTTGCTCTGAGAGAATTATTTTGTGCTGATGTCGCTGCTCTTATTTCTTATAGTGATGTTTACCTACAAGAGCTCATACAATGTTTCCAAGATGCATGTCGAACTTTTGCACTCACCATTAGTGTGAAAAAAGCAGCATGGGGCAAGATACAGAATATCAGCCTTCCACTATACTTAGTGATACCAATCTCCAAACCCTGGACTCATTTTGTTACCTGGGAGCTACTCTTACCAAGATATTGTCATTGGATGAGGAGTTGGACATACAGATTGGGAAGGCAGCCACCAGCTTTGGTTGCCTCAAAAAATGATCATGGAAGAACAAGGCAACAACAAAGACTAAGATCTTGATTCAGAAAGCCTTCATAGTCAGCATCCTCTTTCACAGTAGTGAGACACACACTTCATAAAACAGGCAAAAAGAAAGACTCGATAGCTTCCATCTATAATGCCTGAGATCCAGTCTTAGTATCACCTGGCAAGATAAAATCATCAATGAAGATGTGCTAATGAGGGCATAAATCTCTAGCCTGATAGTCTTTGTTGGTTAGGTCATGTGCATAGAATGCAAGATGAAAGAAAGACTTATATGGTGAGTTAAAGGAGGATCAAAGACTAAGGTTTCAAGATGCCCGCAAGAGAGTTCTAAAACACTGTGGTATTGCACCATAATCTTGAGAAGCCCAAGTGGAAGGCTGTTCAAGTTGGCGATCCAGTCTGGAGATAGATATCATAGAACATAAAATGGCTCTCTACACAAAAAACAAAAAGGCAAAGTAAAAAAAGAGCAATTACACTCAACTTGATAAAATCTGTTTGTCCATAATTGGCTTTTATAGTCATAAAAAAGCTGCAACACTCAACTGTGACCTCACATCCACAATAATCATACATCTGTAAAGATGAACGGGGCCATTAAATAAGTTTTTAGCATTTTGTCGCTCAGGAAATCTGAGACATGCCATGGGTGAGGAAATGGGGTTTTTTTTTTTAATTGGACCAATTTCTGTAGGTGAAAGACAAGCTTTTGAGCTTAAGAAAGCACTCTCTGTGCTCAAAAGCTTGTCTATTTCACCAACAAAATTGGTCCAATAAAAGTTATTGCCTTGTCCCTTGAATATTTAACAATAGTTAAAGCAAGAGAACAAGAAACTATCATTTTGACAGCTTGAACATGCAAGGTAGGGCTCTAGCTGTTTTATTATATAGCAGGAAAAAGCTGGTACGTTTGTTTTTTATGGTTAGTTTTATAAATTAAAATGACTCAAGCCTTTTCTTTGGGTTAAGTTTAACTAAAGAGCTGTCTCTGTGACTCTCAAAGTTTCTGAGAGTGACATCAGTTTCCTCTGTTCTGTTTCATTTCCTCAAACTGGGAACTAGTTACTTTCTGCAGAAACATCTTAGCCCCCTTCACTAGCCAAAGACACAAAACAAGACAAAAGTTTTTAAAAATCAGGCACTTGTTAGTAAATATTCACGTTGCTCCCTGAGATTGATGCGTGGGCATCATAGCGATGATATATAAAATCCCATAAGATGATATGAGGCTGATTATATATCAAAGGCATCCAGGATTTATATCAGCAATAGCTGACTCCCACCACCCCATATAAATCGTCTTGACTCCAGGATAACAGGCAACTCCTAGTTGTGGGGCTTAAGGAAGTAGCCTCCTCCATACACAAGCTGTTGACTTGTCTACAACTCTCGACTACAGGCTTTCTTGCAACTTCCTTTTAAGAGCACTGGCTGCTGTCAGGAACAAAAGACCCCTGATCTGGCCTAGCATAAGAACAGCCATACTGAGTCAGACCAAAGGTCCATCTAGGCTAGTGTCCTGTCTGCTGACAGAGGTCAATGCCGGGCGCCCCCAGACGGAATGAACAGAACAGGGAATCATCAAGCAATCCCCCTATCACTTATTCCCAGACTCTGACAAACAGAGGCTAGCAAATCATTCCTGTTCATCCTTGCTAATAGCCACAGATGGACCTATCCTCCATGAAACTATCTAGCTCTTTTTTGGACCTTGTTATAGTCCTGGCCTGCACATCCTCTGGCAAGGAGTTCCAGATGCTGACTGTGCATTGTGTGAAGAAATATTTCCTTTTGTTTGTTTTAAACCTGCTACCTATTATTGTCATTTGGGGATCCCTATTTCCTATGTTATGGGAACAAGCAAATAACTTTTCCTTATTCAATTACTCCACACCAGTCAAGATTTTACAGATCTCTATCATATCCCCTCTTAGTCTCTTTTCTAAAATGAAAAATCCCAGTCTTTTTAATCTCTCTTCATGTGGCAGCCATTCCAAACTCTTAATAATTTTTCTTGTCCTTTTCTGAACTTTTTCCAATGCTAAGATATCTTTTTTGAGATTAAATGATCACATCTGTATGCACTATTCAAGATTTGGGTGTATGGATTTATATAGAGGCAATCAAATATTCTCTTAGTCTCTATCCATTTTTTAATGATTCTTATTCTCTTTTGCACTTTTAACTGTTGCACCACTGAGTGTATGCTTTCGGAGAACTATCCACAATGACACCAAGACCTCTCTCTGTTTGATAATAGCTAATTTAATCCCATTGCTTTATACTTATAGTTGGATTATGTTTTCTAATATGCATTACTTTGCATTTATCAACATTAATATTAATTTGCCATTTTATTGCCCAGTCACCTAGTGAGATCCTTTTGAAGCTCTTCACAGTCTGCTTTGGTCTTCACTATCTTGAGCAGTTTAGTATCATCGCCAAAATTTTGCCACTTCACTGTTTACACCCTTTTCCAATCATTTATGAATATGTTGAATAGGATTGGTTCCAGTACAAACCTCTGTAGGACACCACTAGTTACCTTTGTCCCTTCAGAAAAGTGACCATTTATTCCTACCTTTTGTTTCCTATCTTCTAATCCAGGGGTGGGGAACCTAAGGACTGGGGGCCGGATGTGGCCTTCATCTTGCCTGGATCCAGCCCCCAATGCTGAGGGGCCCCCCATAACACTGGGGAGCCTGAGCTGGTGCGCCAACCCCCCACTGCCTCCCTGTCGGGCTGGATAACAATCTATTAGGCTGGCCCCCCCAACCTCTGGTATGGAAAGGGTATGTGGGGAGTGTCTTTCTCTTTATTCAGGGGCCAGTTAGGGTTTCCCCCCTCCTCACTTCTGTGCGGTCCAGACTGATTTTTCTGTGGGTCAGCGGCCCAACTTAAAAAAGGTTCCCCACCCCTGTTCCAGCCAGTCATCAATCCATGAGATGATCTTTCCTCTTATCCCATGACAACTTACTTTACTTAAAAGCCTTTGGTGAGGGATCCTGTCAAAAGCTCTCTCGAAATCTAAGTACACTGTATCTACTTGATCCCTCTTGTCCACATACTTGTTGACACCCTCAAAGAATTGCTCTGTTCCTAGATTAATTTTGTTAGAGCTACTCTTCATGGGGAAAGCACAATCAGGGAAAAAGAAAATAAAGCTGGGCTCAATGAAACTCATCCATGAGAAGGGGCCAAGCCCTGGGAACCCCCTCCTCCCTAGAGGGGAGCCAAGTTTGTGGTCAAAGTAGGGAGCAGTAAACCCAAC